ATGTAGTTTACTTTCTTATCTTAATCAGCCATAGAGATCTCCTGATACCATTTTATTACTGATAAACTGTTTACGTTTACAACACGTTTTAACTAGTTCGAATGTGTAAGTGTACCAACGTAAATACAAGTCAGTGTATTGCCATATTAAGTGTGTAATTTCCACATGATTAAGTTAAAGTTTAAGGTTTAATTATTAAATTCGTAATTGACAGTTGTAAGCAATTAATATTTTAGAGTAACATAAGTCCCACGTATAGTATATTAGTGAGTATTAACTATGCAAGTTAAAGTACTTAAAATACATGCAGAAATCACACTCTCAAAAATGTAGAATTCAGAAAGTGTAGTGTACTTGTGCAGCTGTCGCACCAATCATGTACTAATAAATATTGTTTATAAACACATGTACTGCAAGGAATTAATGTAAATTAAATAACTGAATAGTTATAACTCCAGGTCACTAATTCCCCTCCCCCGAGTATAAATAATCTTAGCGCAGCCCTATGTGATGCTCATGAGTTTGTGTTGGTGATTTAGAAACGAATAAAGAGTTAATAAGCGTAATTAGATATAGTGTGAAAAAGATAGTACAATACAGATTGTCAGGAAGTTGAATACAAAGTTGACCTTGGTAAACAAATTTTGCGAGCTTCTTCATGACACACATCATATTAAAACATCATTAAAACGTAATAAATGTTAGCCACGTGTATTATTATAACTGCTATTGAAATATTAAAAATAAAAATAAAAATAATTATTATTGATATAACTATCATCAAAAGATTCGCGTGAGAAATAATGACGTTAATCACTATAGGTATTATTAGACGTTAAACACAATAGTTAGTAAAAATTGATGCAATTAAATAATATTGAGACTGATAAAAGTGTACTATAAGAAAAAAACTTTCACATTGGATTTCCATTACACAAAAGACACCAACAAAATTTGTCCATGTATCAAATACAGTTTTTTTTCTTTTCTCATATGACTCTTTTGTACTTGAAAAATTCTCACTGATTATTATATCAAAAGTTGAATAAAAATTGCATTATGAATACAGGCTTCAAAATTTGTTTACACATGGCAGCAGCGTTCACATGTAATTAATTGGAATCGTATATATTTGCTTCACATAGACAATACCTCTTTCCGTGCTCCCTTTTGTACTCGCCGCTGTACTTGGACCTATTGCCTACGAGCTCTATTATCTCGGGTATGCTACTAGCAAACATGGCCTGCAAATACAAAATGATAACTGCAGAAGAACGAAAGCCCCAGTGTAAGCAGCTTCAACCTCGTCGGGCGTGAGTTAGTTCCATGAACACTATCGGATTTATGTCGATGCATTTAAACAAATACAGTGAGTGACAGTGCGTGGTATATCTAAATTAAATAATAGCAGTAACGGCAGTCATGTAGCGATCGCTATTGGCGCATTACTGCAGTATTGATGCTACTCTGTGTGCGTGTGTGCGGCATGTACAATTTTTTACCTTGGGCTATTTTTTTTTTTTTTTTTTTTTTTTTTTTTTTTTTTTTTTTTTTTTTTTTTTTTTTTTTTTTTTTTTTTTTTTTTTTTTTTTTTTTNGTAAAATGTAATGTAAAAACTTGTTTAATTATACTTTTAAAGGTTATCAACAAATAAATTTAGTTAAAGACACACTGAGAAACAGTTATTCTGGTTTTATAACCGAGCGTTGCTTTTTTTCAAAACTCATCCAAAAATATTTTTAAAATTTATTGTTTTTTAGTTATCACAAAAATAATTAATTAATTTTTTTAACTGAAAAAGTAATTGAAAATTATTTCTCGCTGTACCGTTTCTCAGCGTACACTTGTGTTATTTTTAACATGATACGTCCCAAAAATTGGTGCAAAGCATAAAATGCTGCAATCGATTAATAAGCCTATACGCTAACACAACAGTAAATAAATCATATGGTTTTTTGTGTGGAGGTAAATTTATCAGTGTCAACTTTACCTATTCCTTTTGTCAACTCCCCCAGTCTCCTCTATTTACTTGAAAGCAGAGTGTACATTCGCTTAAGTGGAAAATTAGAAATGCCCACAGATTCCAGAGAACCTTATAAAATGCTTAGAACACGTTAATTAAAATTTTAGGGATTCGTATTATAAGTGCGAGAGCAAGAAAATTTTACATTTTCCCTTTTGTATCGTGCTTTATTTACTGAATGCACATAAAAAATTAGATTTGAAATATCTCGACATTGTGTTAAAAAATGAGAAAGTAAGTTGTTAAATATATGAATAATTAATTTAATGCTGAAAACAAAATCACTTGAGCTACCTCAAGTGAAGTAAAAAACGATGCAACATTATACAATACTTATTGTATGTGACTCATAATATGCTGAAACGCTAACAAAAGCAACAAGTGGCCACTAAAGCATGAAATAAAAATGCTTTTAATAATAAGAACAATAGCGAAAGATTAATTTCGAATAATTGGCTAAGCAGATGGCAAATAGTACAAAAAAGATAAAGAGACAGTTTAAACTTTTTTTCTTGTTTTTTATGATTCACAGAAAATTTAGAAAGAAAAATTAAATTTTTATCATAATCTCAATTGCGTCATATAGCAATTATTTCTTCGTAATTAATTTTGGTAGCATTTAAACACTTGTTGTATTACTTGATTAACAATTTTAATTATTTTAAATAGTTATCGTATAATATGTACGCTTAAGTTGAACTTTAAATGCTTCCTTTAATGTATAAACATTTTATAATTGAAAATAAATATATATTCACAGTTGTGCTCTTTGATAATGTGTAATTTAACGTTTGCGGATTTTATTATTTTGAAATTAATTAAAAGACTAAATTTTCCTTTGCCAATTTTCAAAAGCTCTCATTGATCATGTGAAGTAGAAAGCTTATATCGACAAGCTATTACACTTATAACAGCCTTCATGATACTTAAATACGCTTGTATACTGTGAAAGACTTAATGACGAAATATTCAATGTAGCACTCAAAAATTGTTTATTTCGCCATTCAAATTATAGCATGGATAAAAATTGTTTCAGTGGATTTTGTTGAACACGTTTTAGGCCTCAATATAATGTTAATAAAACGCTACAAGGGAAATGATAGTCACGGTAGCAGTAAGTGATGGCGAGAGAAGTTACATTGGTCTCAGGAGTTACAATTGTACAAGATGTCTAAAACATTAAGTACTATTTGCACGAGTTGTGAATATCGAAATTTATGTGTAATATTCTTGTAATTTTATTTTCTTACAACTTGTTTTTTCGATGTTACCGTAAAATTTAACGATTTCTTTTGATTGATAAATAATTTATGTTGTCAATTTGTTGGTTCTTGGACTTTTTCTCGTGCAAAAGTTCATCAATCATCTCGACTCAAATTAAAAAATAATAGCATAGCTTTCGATCAATGTTAATTAAGCAGGAAATTGTTTTAATAATCAAACAACATTTACATAAACTTAAGTCTTGTGTATTAAGTAACAAATACATTATTTTTCTCGGTTATACATATTTAAATTGAAAAAAAAGTCACATGGAGGATGTAGTAAGCGGGTTAATAGTTATGCAAGCAATTAAAAACTGTCATTCTTGGGTAATTTTGCCCATTGGTTATCAGTTTGGATTTTCTTCTGCATACATACGAAGACAGGCGGAAACGTACACATAAGAAATATTAAGAAGTAAAGCTTGTATCGAAAAAAACTTTTCAACTGCAACCAAATTCTTATTTTATTCTTTGAATTGTGTCGATACTCGTATAATAAGAAAAAAAAAAAAAAAAAAAAAAAAAAATTGATCCGAGTAGTTTTAATGGTTGGAGGACAGCAGTTCCTTCTGAACTAAAATTACTCCATAAACTTAGCTACCAGCACTTTGTTTCAGTTACATTTGTTTTCATATCCAGACTTTCGATTTTACCGTGTTTATTTGAAAAAATCTGTATATTTTTAATTATGTTTAATACTTTCGGTCCAATCAATTGAAACAAGCTTAACAATAAAACAGATTGAAAAGCAGTAATATTAATGAGTTCAAAAATCATATTCAAACATCATTTTTGAAAATTTCTAAAAAATGTTTGGAAAGCACGGCAGTGAGCATGTACATGTGTTGTAAATAAAAATATAAATGACGCCGTGCACTCACGGGTTCTTTTCGTACGTTAAGAATGTATAAAATGCGTACGTGAATAGAGTACGTAAACCAAATAGCTAGAGACCCAGCAATGCAGATTTGAGAGAAAAGTAATGATATGTCGTATGTATACATAGAATAGGATACATGTATAAGGTAGACATCATCGCTCAATACAAAAAACACTTTTACGTACGAGGTATCTTTTTAACGATGGTATTTAAATTTTTTTGAAAAAATACGGTTTGATGTTCCTTTCGAAAAAATTATGTTTTAAGTATATGTTTCCACAAGAAGACAAATACATTTCATGACTACAAGTCTAATTCTTTTGTTGCTTACAACATATAGCAAAAATTTCGCAGGGATTTTATATCATCGTAGCATTACAGTTAATAATAAATTAGGTTGCTCAGTTACTTGTTCATGAAATTTTATAGAACTGTTTGTAAATAATGAGAATTTTTGGAGATAAAAATATTTAAAACATGTCAAAAAAAATATTTAGAATTTTATTAATTAGACGTTAAACACAATAGTTAGTAAAAATTGATGCAATTAAATAATATTGAGACTGATAAAAGTGTACTATAAGAAAAAAACTTTCACATTGGATTTCCATTACACAAAAGACACCAACAAAATTTGTCCATGTATCAAATACAGTTTTTTTTCTTTTCTCATATGACTCTTTTGTACTTGAAAAATTCTCACTGATTATTATATCAAAAGTTGAATAAAAATTGCATTATGAATACAGGCTTCAAAATTTGTTTACACATGGCAGCAGCGTTCACATGTAATTAATTGGAATCGTATATATTTGCTTCACATAGACAATACCTCTTTCCGTGCTCCCTTTTGTACTCGCCGCTGTACTTGGACCTATTGCCTACGAGCTCTATTATCTCGGGTATGCTACTAGCAAACATGGCCTGCAAATACAAAATGATAACTGCAGAAGAACGAAAGCCCCAGTGTAAGCAGCTTCAACCTCGTCGGGCGTGAGTTAGTTCCATGAACACTATCGGATTTATGTCGATGCATTTAAACAAATACAGTGAGTGACAGTGCGTGGTATATCTAAATTAAATAATAGCAGTAACGGCAGTCATGTAGCGATCGCTATTGGCGCATTACTGCAGTATTGATGCTACTCTGTGTGCGTGTGTGCGGCATGTACAATTTTTTACCTTGGGCTATTTTTTTTTTTTTTTNTGGATGACTATGATAACTTTTTTTCTAATTCATCTTTTTTATTTGTTATATATTTTACAAGATTTCATTCTGAGCTCTGAAGAGAGTTCAACATTTTTGTTTATTATGTAAATAATTTCGAGCTGTAAGAAATACAAAATATTATCCCGGTGAAAGATATAATGCTATGAATCACATTAAAAACTAAAATAAAATCAACTTAAGTCAATAAAGTTATGATGTATCGATTTTTGTGATAAAAGTACTATTTTAGATTAAGGTGCAAAGTTATTTTGTTCCTTTCTTTACATTTATTTGTAATATCATACAAACCTGAACATTTTTTTTCTTCTTGAGCATCAAACAGTATTTGTCAAAATATAGTTATTAATGGTAATTTTTTTTTTAACAGATACATTCATCAGATAGTTAAATTATGTACACCTGAACGTATCTATGATATATTGCAAGTTAATTAAACGCAACATTAGTGGCTGATTCAGCATGGTAATAATGATGACAATGAATTTAAAATATTTCAACATTATAAGGAAACAAATGAGTATCGAATAAAAATTGAATATGAAACAGCCAAAAAATGACCCATTTCGATCACACAAACGTACAGGTAGAGTACTACTATATGGTAGAGGTAGCCAGTGATGTTTTTTTTTTTGTTATCAAATTAAGTAAAAACAAATGTAAAATAATATGGAATAAACAAGTTTTTATGTCGTGTATGATAATACTTGAGATGAAAATTTTTTTCTATTCTACAGTGTAATACAAGAGCATGAGAAAAATAATTGTAATATTACGTTCTTTTGCAACAATTGGAATTATTCAGTCACCATTCCTACCATAAAAGAGGAACTCAGGTGGTAAACACATATGTTTCTCATTTTATCATTCAAAATAATTACACACTAAACTGTTAACGGGACAAATATATCTTTAGTTTAAATTCTCAGATATGTTTTTGCAAATGTGCACATTTTTATTGCTTTCCTTTCACAAATGTATGAGAGCGCCACTCATGCAAGACGCAAATGAAACTAGGAAAATGAGGTCGACACAAATTCATCTTAACAATTGAAAAAAAAAATTTTTTTTATTCTTAAAGAAACATCTGATTTAAATTATCGACCATTTCGTTTAAATACAATAAGAGTTTAACACATGTGGATGTATTTATTGTTATTTTCATTTTCATGGCTAATAAAAGCATAAACCTATAAGGTAGTCATTTGTTTGCAAAGGCTTCGTTTTCAAATTCATACCTTGCCATGCTTGAATTCGTAACTTAAAGAAAAATAAGGAAGAAATTTGGAAACAATACTTTTATCATACTACTTCGAAAGAAAATTCCGCCTCTTGATGCTGGATTGCTGAAAAATCGTATACAATCCACAGGAGGAAACAAAGACAGCCTCAGATCACAGTCTTGTTACCGTCGGCTTCACCTCGGATGTCAAATGCCTGTGATCCGAGACATTCTTTATTTTTCCTACCTAGGTGCGTAATACACTATTTAACATCGCAAGTAAGGAAATACTTTATTCAGAATAATCTGTAGTGAAAACAAAGTCTTGGCAGTAGATCTACAATTAGATTGACGTAACATTCTACGTAAACTGCATTCTTCTCCAAAAAAACTTTTTCTTCCAAAGTATACGTGATCGTAGGTTCCTAAAACTTGCGCGCTTGAGGTTACTATTATTCTTCCATCGTGGAATGTTACACACTACGCGTATGAAAAAATTTTTACGCGTTTCGGCGTCGGTAAAGTTTAAGTTTTTTGACGGTTCGTCGCGACAACGAACGGCTAAAGTAATTTTGGGGCAGGGGAAATAGAGAAGGAAACAAGTAGATGAACATATACGAGGGCAAAAACTGGGGTAAAACTTGGCCTCAATTCATCAGTTATCGATGTTGACACTGGCTTCCGGAACAGAAATCGATACCCAAAAAGTTACCTATCGCTATTGCTGCTGGTTTCTTGCGACTGATCCTTCAGCAATCTCGTCTCTCGCACATGATTAAAAAAAATTTTTTTTATATAAATTTTTATTAGGGTAGGACTATTTAGAGCCCACAATTTTCTTTTAATCATACAAAATATTTTTAAAACTGTATAGAACAAAAAAAAAAAAAAATCAGGAAGACTGAGTTATTGCAGTCGCACGAGCACTTGCCTTCTGGTTTTTCGGATTCGATTTTTTGTTTTTTTGTTTTATTTTTTTTTTACTCCAATTTTGGTGATCTGAAAATTTTGCGACTCGTAACTGCTAGACCGCTTACGAATTTAATAATGCTCCAGCAATTATGATTTATAATAATCATCTATCTGGTATCGCTATTAGGTTTGGTAAAGCATTTGACTAGCAATTACGGAAGCAGATTGGCCAAAAACATGCGAATCAGGTGTATTATATTACGTAATTACATTTTTTTTGTATGCCTATTATAGTCAACTCGCACATTAGCCCATAACATATCACTGCCCGTATTCGTATAACCAGTTAAATAACACATTATACTGAAAGCCGCGATCATATTTACAAGTAATCAATGTGGTAAGATCAGCCAGTTTATCGTGGCTCTTGTTTTATTATATTATGTCACGGGAATAATAAATGAATTTACCAATGATTAATGTAAACATCAGTAAGTAAGTAAGTTTGTACGTAAGTAAGTGAGTGAGTAAGTTAAGTAAGTGAATAAATAAGACTAAGGGAGCTCTTGCAAATGCATAGAATGAGGTAGGCTTACCAAACCGACGAGTAGAAAAAATACTAGGAATGTGCGACCGAGTACCGTCTGGCAGTAAACGTCACCATACCCGACCGTGGACATGGTCACAATCAGGAAGTACACGCACGTCCAGTACGACAGCTGCTGTGGATTCTTGAACTCGAATGGATCCCCCGAGTTTTCAAGCTGCATATATTCCAAGTGATGACGAAGACGATGTCAGTGCAGATATTGACGAAGATATAAAAAAAGAACGATATAAAATTGTGGGTAAACTCAGGCACGACTTGTTTTTATTAAAAATCTGTTTTGCCTATACTAATGTATTTCCCATCTTTTCCTAATACTACTTCTGTGCACCCTTGCATTTCCGGAACGATGGCGAGAGAACGTGCCTTTTCACGAAAAATTCTATTACTATACGTATTTTTATTTTTAACAATTATTACAATAACAAAAATTATTATTACTGTTATTATTACTCCTGCTGTTGATTTTGTTGCTATTATTGACTGTTGCTGCTGCTGCTGTTGTTGTCGTCGTCGCTCTTATAATTATTAGAATTTCAGGAATTCATCGACAATTACGAATTATTAGTGACTTAGATGTTCTAATTTAAAAAAAAAATTATACCTATAATTTTCCGAATTTTATAAGATGATTGCGTTAACTTCTGCTGTATAATATCGAATAAGTATTATTAGTTTTTAAAATAAAGAAAAAAAGTAGTACTTACTAAATGAATAATACCAGCAGCCGTAAGCCACACGGAGATGAAAATGGAGACGAGCTGAGCAAGGCGAATGGAACTCGATGTCTTTAAAATGTTAAGGTACTGAAGGATATCAGGGACCGTCATCAGTCGTAAGGCTCGGAGGAACCTCAGTCCGATCCACGTCCGATCCAGATAAATCGATACGAAAGACGGTGGTATCGTAAAGTAGTCCACGAACGAATACATCTCCAGCATGAACCACAGCTTGTCACTGGCGGCGATAAACTGTAAAAGATTTATTATCATTAGGCATCACGCCGCCACCCACTTATATATTGTACTTAAATAGATGTATCATGTACGAATAAAGTCGGTCTTGCAACTTATTGCAAGTTCTTCGTTGCATGGGAAAAAAGAAAGAAGGTCGCCCGAATCTTTGAGTTTTTACTTTTTGTTTTCGTGTAATTTGAAAATATAAAAATTTTTAGATGAATCAATCTTAAACAAAAGAATAAAGTGTATGGTTAAAATTCATCTAATTATGCAGCTATGAAAAAAATTAGCCAACAATATATTAATGAATTTTTATTGACATTTGACTGGAGTTATTTTTTTGGTATACTCTGGTACAATTTTACTTGTTGTTTTATCTAGCTACAAGTTATAATTTTATAACTATTTTAAGTACAACTTACATCAATATTATTATTATTATTATTATTATTATTATTATTATTATTATTATTACACATGCACGATACAATGTTATTTTTATCATTGTATCGTGTAACATAAAAATTTTTAGATAGTAATTTTCACTTACGCGTATAAAAAAGTAGACCATAAAAAATATATTGAAAGCTAAGTCTATCTGCTGAGTAATGTTGTTGCTCCACTTCTGGCAACGCTCCACCTCCTCGCTGCAACATAAAAAAAAAAGAAAAAAAAAAAATAAGAAAGAAATACGCGAAATCGTGGTTATCAAAGGCAGATGCAGATCATTGTTTTCGAAGATTGATTTACTGCAGGATAGCTAAAAACAAGTTTACAAGTATTTTTATACTTAAATGAATATTTTATTAGTGCAGTCTTCTGAGGGATGGGACAAAATAAAGCACTTTTTATATCACACAATTGGTAACGAAAAAAGTTTTATCATTAAAGTATAATTAAATATGCATGCGAGTAGGTTTTAATTAATTAAGCAATTGCGTGTTATAAATATCACAAGCTAGGTAATCGATTTGCACTGATGCATAGTTGACTATTAGCGCTTGTTATAATACGATTCAATAGTTGTGGAAACGATGGATCATAGTTTAATACATCTAAAATTTATAATTACATTGATTTTGGATAAGTAGTGACACAGATGAAAAAGTAACCTCTATAAAAAAAAAAAAAAACACGTGTCTTGTACATACATGTACTTGATTGACATTGTATACGTTCTGGCTTATATTTTATAACAGTAAATTATAAGTAACTGTTTCAAAATGCCCGATCCAGGACATATAATATCATTTAAGTAGACGTACTGGTGTTAAATAGGTATTAATAACAATTAACTACTTATTAATTAGACATTGTAAGAGAAAATCACTTAGCAAGCGGTAGTTGAATGTTGTGATTAAATCTTATTCTTATGCTACTTAATAAATATAGCATTGAATTAAATTCGTTATGTTACCTGGATGCATCGATGAAATATATTATAAGTGACGCTATACTAAGAATGAAAACTAGCACAACCTGAAACAAATAAATTATAAAAATAATGAAATAATTATTTTTGAAATAGGTTCGTATGAATATTTTAAAAGTTTTAGAGCTACATCATAAATCATAGCTATATTTATTTATGTACAGTGATGATAAAAGTATAAGTCAAGCTATGACTTCGTTAAATTTGCAATCAAAACAATTTGAGAATTCCTACGTAGTTAACGAAATTTCATGATTTCAATCATCAAGGAGATTTTTCATAATTAAACTAATTAACGCTGTCCATGTGAATCAGCGCCCGTGAAGAATTTTCAGACATCGTGATTTACTCTGATGTTAGTGCTCAGGGGAAATTTCGAAACTTGAAAAACTGTGCTTTGGATTCTCATTAATAAATAGTAATATACGCAGACGTAGGTGGACGAGTACATGACGAGTCCCATTTAATGTCACAATAATGTCCACAAATGGCCACAGCTAAGGTTGAACCGGATTAAATTGTTGGGTGCCAACTACATATTGTTCTGTATTTTTGTCTGGTTTTAATACAAACAACCTACAAGTTTTGTTGGTATTAGTATAATCTTTCGTTCTATCTTAGAGGTGAAAACGATCGCATGCGTGTTTTCTTTCATAGTGTAGGTATCCACCATTCAAGTCCATGCAATTTGATATTTACAACTTATGTCGAGAATCGTCTATCATTTAGCTGTAGGTGTCATTGATTGGCCATCCATCTGTATTATCTAAAGTGCCAGTTCTTGTCTAAGGACTACTTTATTCCACGTTACGTACGTCATTTTGTTACAAGAATAGAGATAAGGTGTCTCTGAAAATTTTGATGAATGAGTAATGTAAATGATGCTCTGACTATTAACTTGTATATCTTTGTCCTTTGGAATTAAAAATCCTTCAAACTCAAGTGGTACTTCTTTACTGGTGTGACTTGATGAATAATGTATGAGTTTAATTCTTCGAAAGAAATCAGCCGCAATATTCCGCAAAAGTACAAACTTCTAAGACTCGACCCCGACCTCGGCCTTATGCGTGTGTGCACATTAGCCAAGCCGAAGTACCATTGCAACTTGTAGAAGTGAGAAAATGAAGACGACGAGCTGCAGTGCGGATTAACTCTATATCACTCGGCACCGCGTGCACGACGTATTCTTGGCCGCGAAGACGCGGCTGTCCCTCCTTGTGAGAATGGCGCTATAAATAAGCCAATTGCTAAAATAGATGCGGTCTGTGGAGCCGTGCACGAAGAGCAAAGCTTTCCTCTTGGCTGCTAGCATGAGTATACATCCATGAAGTCGAGTTCATCGAAATTATTACCTCCGCAGCTCCCCTGCTCGTACCTTTGCAACTATAAGCACTGCTACTGCTGTTCGACACAATTGTACGCTTCACAGGCTCCAATGTGAAATTCTTCAATCACAAATTATTTATTTTGCAGTTGAATATTTTAAAATTATTCCACCATCTCGAAATACGTTACAGTTGAAAACATAAGTAAAAACTGTACAGAACAAACAAATGAAAGCATGAAAAAAGCTTTACTCTTCAAAGAGTTACAATTGATTCAATGATTATTTGCTCTACACCCACGTGTTTCAGTTTTTCGTGGTCCATTGTGACAGAATACTTCGTAGACTGTTCTGTTAATCTGCAGAGAAAATCGTTGAGTTGCACGATTTCACTGAAATGTAAAGCGCAGTTTTTTTTTGTGCTCGCAGCGAGTAGGGACTCGCGCGTTTGCTTTTTATTGTCATGCTATAGCCTAGTTAATGTCGCCACGTGGACGCCATCGACAATTGCCACCGATACTCTTACTAGGTACATTATTATACTTGTTTATGGTCGAACTTGTACCATTTACACTCTGCTGTCAGTGCAGTCTTCAAATAAAAATTCAAAGTCTGTGCTTGGTGTTTCTCGTACAACTTTTTAACGTCTTGAAAGATAAATTATTCATTTACTTGGTTACCAACACATTCATTCCTTTAGTTGTCCATTTGTTTGATTCAATGGCAAAAAAATTATGGAAACTCCCTTTCACGGCATGTAAAATGTTTATGAGTATGCTAATTACTTTTGCTCATGGATATCAAATATTTTTTTTAAATACTCTACAAGATATACTATGTCTTTGCACCATCTACGTACTCGTATACAATTTTTGTTAACTTTTTCCGAAAAAAAAACAAAAAAAAAAAAAAAAAAAAAACTGACCAGCAATAGTAATAACGATGGCAAGGACGGCGATACTTCTGCGTTGCAATTGATCGTTTCAAATGTACAAGCTCGAAATCAGTGACGGGTATCGTAATGAACAAAGGAAAAGATACTGGCCTTCTCAAAATTTGATATCAAAATTTTATTTGTGCGGACACACGCAAAACTATGCTCGTGCACATTGTCCTTACATTAAGATACTGTATCGTCATCGTTTGAATAACCAATGATTCGCATTTGAGTAGTCGGTGGTAAGGTATGATTAAGAGCTTCGATATACACGATCCAGTTCAAGTTTAGATGTTGTGTATAACTTATGGTAGGTACTGAATACGGAAGTGTGAGGGAAAAGCACTTTTTTGAGATTTCCACTGGGTCATCCATCACAGTCATCGCGTACATCATTGAAACCCCCCCCTCCCCCCAGGGGTAAGCATCACGCAAAGTTTTGTAGTTTTGAGACGCAAATCGTGATAAAGTAAGTCGGTCATGAACAACATGAACCGTGTATTTTTCATCGTATCGCAACCATCTCCATGGACAAACAGTAAACACTGATAAGTGGTCCTTGGCACGATGGGAATCCGTGTCAGTCGGACGATTGTTGGGGCAAAAGGAGGTGGAGAACAGAGGAAGGATTTGGTCTCTCGATCGAGAGCAGGAAAAAATAAGCTGGCTGTACGCGTTGTGCGCCATTGTCTCCTTCGGCACCTTTGACTCTCCGCAGTTATAACACGCCGACGTACTCGACACAGTGATAGCCACTACATTCTTGAGAGCGGGCTCGGACTCCTCGACTGGCCACGAGCCAAAGGCTCGCCCATCCAATTCAAACATGATTCACCATCTTGTTGCATTGATTTTTTTTTTCTCTCCCTCGGTCTCCCCTATTGCTCTGTTACTTTCACAGCCGAGTTTACAATTGCCTTTAACTAAACCAATTGCATCAAACTTTACATGCGAGTATTTCGTGAAGGATAGGGTTGGATCTTCTACAACTTTAATTTGTTTCTCGTTGGCAGTTTAAAAAACATCTGCACCCAACCACAGGGGGATTCAAAATTGGCACGTATGAAGAAAGAAGGAATTAGTTATTATTATTATTATTATATACCTACCAAGGATTATATAATCATGGCATGTAAGTACAAAGGTATCGGAGGTTAGCTGACAACATTTACACAGTACTGTTTTGACGGTAAACAATTTTTTCTCAGTGTTGAATGAAAAAAGGATGGATCGATCTTTCGTGCGTATTAATCCTCACGAGCAATCGAGTGGCAAGCTTGTTTCGAGGTCTCGCATTATATTAAGCGGCTTTTGTCGTTTTAAAATTTTTTCATCGACTCAATCTGCATTCAAAGCGATCCCCTCGAAATACTTTGCAACACCGGATTTTGTGTACCGCGCGCGGAGCTTTTTCAAAGTGGCTTTAGCCCAAGCGTTTTGATGAATATTCAAGTTTGACTCGACGGCGCGCGTGAATGGCTTCTTTCCAGAGTACCGACAGTGTACTACCCCACAGGGAAGGAAAGTATCGCCGACAGCGCCACTTTGAGGTTGTTTTTTCGTGACGATTAAAATTTTTTTATTTGGGGGGGGGGGGGGTTGCTATAATTTTAGTTTTTCAGAGGTAAATACCTACAGGCTCTTACATTTTTTTTGGGTCAGAGGGAAAGCGAGAAGTGATTATAAAATTTGATTAAAGGCTGCTCAAAAATTTAGCTTTTTTCACGCTATTGATGCTTTAGAGGAAAACAAGCGGACGTGACAGTGGATTAAAAGGGAAAAGCAAACTGAACTTGAGTAGCCAATGATACTCCAACAACCTTTTTTTATATTGTACGCAACGTCGGTTACGATATCCAAAACTATTGACCGATCGATTACTCATTGCACGAAGGTTCAACACTACACAAAGGTAAAGTAAGATCATGATTATCGAAGCGTAAAGAAAAGCGTATGTGAGATTCGATTGTGCGTCATTCGATACGTAACAGCGTCGTCGTCCGGCGTTAACCTATTTAATCAAAGGCACGAGAAAATTGAATTCGCGCCCTCTCTATCGCTCCTTTTCTCGTTTAATGCAAAGACACCGTCAGCAGCTGCAGAGTGGGTATAGCAGCGCTGCGGGGTTTCATCGTTATTGTAGGAACCGATTGAGGATTAAGGTTTTATCAGACACCGACCCGTCACGTGGGCGTTAGCTTTCCAGTCGGGCAGCAGTCGGGCATCCAAGGCAAAACGAACGAGTAAGTTCCCAGCAGACCGAAGTACCGAGTTTCCATAAACGATTTACAAAGCATGAAAACAGAAATTCAGATAAATATACACATGTATTCGGGCAGTGATTAACTGATCTTGTGGAAATAAAGGTATTAATACTGAAACAGGGTGGAAACATGTCATTCTGATGGGGCTGAGCTCCCGTGATTGTTTTGTCGTGATTTTTAAATAATTTACTCGCTTTCCAAGTGCATTAGAGTTTCGTTGAGAAACATATTTATTTTGAAGCCTTGAAAATAGGCTGAGGGAAATGAAAAATGAATGGACAGAAAGTAAAAAAAAAACACATAGGTGTCGACCCAGAAATAACAACATGAAAACATAGACGGTGATACACAGGTTATTTTCAACCGCAAAGATTTAAAGTCGGAGACACGCGTAAACAGATACGTTGATAAAAAAGCTGGTACGAAGTTCCGGAATCACATTGACAGAAACTAAAAAATGGATGTTTATAAAATGCCTGTACGATGCACGTAAATGGAAGGTGCTATACAGCAAATGAAAACAAAGTCATAAAGTTAGAGATGGAAGTGTAACAAATAATGCTAAATGAATATCGTGAGCAACATTTAAGGGAAAAAAATTGTCATGAAGACTACGTAAAAAAAAAAAATTACTAAAAGCTGTAGAGATATGATGATAAATTAATTAATGGAGAAAGTATTGGAAAAAAAAATAAAAAAAAAATAAGGAAAATTTTAAACAGACTTAATAAAAAAATACAAAAACTAAGAACTGCAGAAGACTTATATATAAAGGTGTAAAAAAAGGACAAGTATCAAGATACATAAACAGATATAGATCATCTTTGAAAATTTTGAACAATATCCAAGCCTGATTTTATCGATTCTAGTAACGATTGTTTTGACTTTTTTTTTAAAGGGTATGTTTGTGGAGTTGATAGCGGTAGTAACGGTAATTGTATGCGAATAAGCAAAAAAAAATTACCCTAATAAATCAAGTTATATGGTAGGATCTGTTTTACATACAGCAGCAAAAGTTGGGGTCAATTCTTATGCAAATAATCATTCGGACATTTTATTGCGAAAAGGAGGATAATGCGAAGGAGTAAGATTTTTTGGGTATTAGCACGCTATGCCACTACAGTATACTTGAATGATGTATGTGGGAGCATTGTACCCAAATGCATGTTAAGTATGCGTTTCGACAGAGTTAAACAGAGTTTGTATCATTAGATAAAACTCTTTTCATGTAGGTCTTCATACGTACAAACAAACAAATACTTTTGTTCACAGACACCCACACAAATTGCAAAAGTAGGCTGAATTGAAAAAAAAAAAAAAAAAAATACTATACATGCGCTNTAAATTTCACCTCATTCATACTCACTTTAATATATAAATTAGTAGGGATCTTTTATAAATTATTACGTGTATGTATTTAGCTTGTATGTAATTAAATCATACGTGTGCAAAAAAAAAAATACGCAGCTGAGATTCGAAGGGAAAATTAGAAAAATCATTACGAGGTTATGTATGAGTTGTAATGGAAGGCTTGGGTTAACCATAGAGGGGGGAGCTGAAGTAGAGAAGTTGAAGAGAGAACTCAGGTGGGGACTACTAAAGGCGGTGCGCTGCTGTACTGGCAAATGAGCATGAAGCTCTTCTGCGCATGTGCGACTTTGCATTGCCGTCTGGCATCACTGAACCTCAGTTTGAATTTACATCCCCTTTAAAAACTATCGTATCATTGTACAAAACCTGTAGACAGTGAAAAAAAAAAAAAATACTATACACGTTTCTGGTTGCCATGAATATAATAGCAACAGTAGAGGGGCAAACGGACAACAAATGATGTGTACACGTATACGTGTAATATTTATGGAACACGCGTGGAACAAATGACGTAAAATTTATCTCGGGAGGCACGTGGCAGAGGGAGCGAGCGAGAAGAGAAAATCAAGGGTACAAAGGTGACAGACGTAAAATAATCTGATGAAATGAGACATGAATAATATTGACTATTGTTATTATTGTTATGTGTGTAAAAGAAGAAACAGAGAAGTGTGTCCGTCTGCAGGGCCGGTGGAGGGCTTAGAAAGCTTAAGGGTAGATTGTCTTTCTGGGCACCCCTTTCTCCGAGGGGAGGGCGCAGTGCGTGTGTTACTTACCCTGCATGTACTATATACACAGAAAGAAATAATACCGTAGGCGCTTGCTCGAGTCCGTATAGGTTGGTACACAAATGAAACTAGGTCAGCAGCCGTTCGTTCATTCGTTCGTTTCTCGGGCATCGCTTGGGTAAAGGTGGTACACATATAACTTGCACGTATGTACGTCCAGTCTGTGGCGCGTGTGTGTATAGTACCCATACTTGTGTCGAAAGCTCGGAGAGGAAGTTGGCGCAAGCGCTCGCCGCTCTACCTATAAGGGTAGATATGTATACCCTCTGTCTCGCTTCTGCAGCGTTTTTCGACTTTTTCACTCTTTATTTAGCCCTGCGATCTCCTACACTTACTCGACTCGATTCGAGAAATACACCCTCCCAACTACCACTACACAGTCTATTGGTAATCGATGTCGTTTTTATATAAACTCTTTTTTGTTGTGTGGGGCTTGTGCATGTATATTGTTTTGATGCATGTGAGCCTTCGTTCCCTTCGATCAATCCAGTGCTGCTGCATGATTCGGATTTTACAATGGTATACCAGCAGGACAAGAATTTTACAATCCATGCTTACCCAAAATCACGCGTACATCAACAATAAGTACAACAATTCGTGCGAAACATCAGGAAACGACCATTTTTTTCCAAGTTTTAACTCCTATACTCTTTGTAATACATTGGAAATATCAAGGAACGTTTTTTTTTTTAAGTATCCGTGAATGGCAAATTGGCCCAGTTCTCAGGTTGGACGACGCGATACCTCAATCCTTTCAATAATTTGTACGCGCCCGTTCCTAGGCTCAAAATCGTTTACATCCAGTAAAAAGCTATCGACCCATGGTGGGAGCTCTTTCGGTATTCGAATGCTTCGCTACATTCGTTCTGTACGCACTGGGCACGTGGCTGGTAAAAGCGAGAGGGCGATATTCTATATGCGGAGTCGTGGACACCTACAGCAGTGTGATCATGTATACGTATATACCCGTATTATTTATTGGGCTCCCGTACGCGTGCAAACGCACTGTAATATGGGCGTGCTTTGCACATCGAGAAGAACAGGGAGGTAGCTCGGATTTGCCAAAACTGTGGTATAATTAGAAAAATTATCAAGTTGCGGCCAAAACATCGATAAAACTGTTCATTCCGCGGAAAATAAACCAATCGCGAATATCGTATCTGCGGTCCATGTGGAAAGGTGAATACGAAGAAGGACAAAGCCTTTTTGTTGGACAAATTTAAGAACTAACCAGCACACCCACGGAGCTAAAATCTCAAGAGTTGAACGAGTTTCGTTGCTTTTAAAATTTTTAACAATCCGGCCTCTTTTAGCATATTGTAAAAACCTCCATCACCTTCAATCATGTTCATGAGTTCGCATTTGCTTGTTTCAAGTCAAAGGGTCATCGATCTAATCGTGGATGATCTTTGATGTCATTGTATGTAATGTAATGACTACTACTCAACAATACACACTTTACAGTGGAAAAACGTAGAAAACGTGTTGGAGTATTCTAGATTACAGTGAGAATAGTATATTAAAATGCTGACTGCTGAAACAATTGTTTTTTTTTTTTGTTTTTTTTTTCAACCTAATCGGTTTCATATAAGTAGCAGCTCGTAAACTCTCAAGAAAACAAATGATTCAACTCTTAAATAAGAATGCCAATTGAGAACTCGCGGATGGGAAAGTGATGAGTTGAATAGGTAAGCAAGCTCCCTCGTGGTGTAAACAAACTCAAAGATTAAAGCGAGGGCCTGTAAAACGGGAAATCTGCTCATCAAAGTACCTCAGCGAAAACAAACAGGTCTGCGATCACTAAAGCTATTCAATGATTCTAATGGCAAATGATGATGATGATAATGATGATGATGATCCGACCAAACTTTCTTTATATGCTTGATAATTTAAATAAATATTGTACAAAGCCTAAGCCTTGGCTGATGAATATTTCACAAAATTATTTTTTCATTCGACCTTAGGGATGCCATCCACGTCCGGTTCTCGATTTGTGTGCGTACCTATTTTGTTCACTTGATGGATCTAGAACTCGGGTATTCCTCATTGGAAACCTTTTTTTTTTATTGGTCTATAACTACTTGTAATGTATTGTTGGGAAGGGGGTCGGCTTTTCTACCTACGTTGCGTAAAATTGAATATTGAAAGGGAAAAAGTAGATGGACGTAACGGGGAGTGGAAACGAGTGATGATGGTGATGAAAAAAACAAAAACAAAAAAAATAATAATAATAATAATAGCAATGATGTTTGTAACTCACGAGGATACGTCCAGTAGTGGTCTGTCCGGATATGAGTTCGCCGGCCCAGTCTTTGGCCTCGGTCATGAAGGTGCCCTCGAACTCCTTGCCCTGGCGGGCGGCCTTCTGTTCCTTCTGCTTGGGGTCATTGGGCGCGAACTCGGGCTCCTTGCGACAGCAGAGAAACGCGAAAGCCCGCCACAGCAGGACAATAAGGAGGCCCGCGAGAAAGGTGAAGATACTCGAGAGCAGGAAGCACCACCACCTGCGCTCCTTGAGGCAGTCGTCGACCGGTGGCTCCTCGCTCGTCTCCTCGCACGACATCTTGGCCACGTATTATCCGCAAGCAGCCCGGCCTCGTCGTCACCACCAACACCGCCACCACCACCACCAACACCACCACCACCACCACTACCCTCACCACCACCTTGACCACCACCACAAGCACAACCGACCGGTAGTCGAAGCTGCCGCGGCCAGGCGGCCTGTACCTCAGTCGCCTCCAGCGCCTCCTCCGCCTCCTCCTTCTTCTGGCCTTTCTTCCTTGCCTCTGCGTCCTTCCCCAGTCAATAGGACTGCCTACGCTGCTGCTGCCGCTTTTACGAGCGGGCGCTACCACGGGCGCTGCTCCTGCCACCGGTGCCCCCGGCACGCACATTCACCGGGGCGACCGGGGCCCGCTGTTCTTGTTGTTCCTGCTTTTACCCTTCTCGGCTTCGCGGCTCGCCCGATGGCCCGCGACTCTATGCCGCTGTTGCTTCTTCTTCTTCTCCGTCAAATTTGCCGACGAGCCGTCCTGATGGTGCTCCTGATGGCCACCGCGAGCACCCCCGAGCCTCGAGCGCTTCATGTTTAAGTCCACCCGTGGCAGCGGTCCCCGCCACCGCTGCCGTCGGCCACACGAGCTATCGAGTTGTCGTTGCTGCTGGCTATACCTTTGATGACAGCGACCAGGAGGGATAGGACCTCGCCCAATGTGATACTATAGTGCACTCGCGCACCGCACCACTGCCGCGACGCTAACGGGATGCGGGTGGGGTAGTGTCCCTCCTGCCCCCTCAACACGGCCTCGATTCACTTACACCTGTGCTGCGAGAGTTCCGAATTTTCAACTGTTCAACAACCACATCTGCGGATATTGGAAACAAAGGAACAAAGGTCTAAGTTTGTTTAGGTGCGTGGATCCTAGGTCGCGCCCTCACCCCATCACCATTATCCACTTTGATACTGTACCATAGGGAGGGAACGAGCTGGCGCCCAAAACCATTGCCTCCTCCTCCCCACCTGTTTCCAGCTTGGCTTATCTGTCGCTACGCGGACGAAGCGCACCAAGGTACGCGCGCCCCCTCGTCCGATGGGTAACCATGGCCCGGTGACACCCGTCTCTTGGGGCGAGTGGTGGCCAACCAGAGCGGGAGTTATTCGATTTGGAGCAGCCCCTGCTCCGCTCCTATTTTCCGATGCTAGCGGCGCTGACGACACTGACAGTCGCGCGTTGGATGGTGCCCGTGCTCGTATTGGTGAACTCTCCTGCCCCGAAGACCTAGTGCCGAGTCGCTGTCCCGATGGCACGCCGCCGACGCCGTCGCTGACTCTCTGTCGGGCGTGCGCGCGCTACCCCCCGGTTACTGCCGCTACGGCGGCAATCAATACGGCCAACAATGGGACCGGGACCAATGAGCTTTGCCGAGCTTTTCCCTCACGTATAATATATACAGGCGAGTTTAGCGCGCAAGCTCGCGCCAGCTGTATTTCCCTCTCTCTTTCCCTCCAATTCTCTCTGTATTTATGTCAAACCCCCGTCGCTCTCTTTTCCAGTTCTCACTATTTCTCGCGTATTTTTCTTCCTCCTCCACTTTTCTTTCTCGTTTTCTCAAATGCTCACTTTATATATTTTTCAATTCCATCAGACGATTACATACCCGCATTTATNAAGAGAGATGTTTCTCAGAAGATATCCTCGTCAAAGGTTACTGTACTTCTCTAGATGGAATGCATCATCATCGAGATATCGTATTAGAATTTTAAAGTTGCTTTTGGCACAGTTGCCCGTGGTGTTACCAAAGAAAGCCAAGATACTATTTTGACAAAAAAAAATGCAACAGATGATGTACATGAGAAAGCTTGCACAATTAGCGAAAAGATTAGAACGTCAAATTATGAGTTGATAGAAGAATGGAAATGCGATCACAACCAAGAAATACGTGAAGTTAAAGAACTTTGAAATATAATTAACCATCAAATATGAGAATTTGTTAAAGTTTGATGATGCAAACGGGGATACGACGTATGATTTGGGAGCTGTTAAATCGATGCGATGCTGTATCTCTGCGATGTCGGTCGATGAGTGTCGCAGGAGCTTCGCAAGCTCTAGCTTAAAGGGGGCATTGCTCTATTTCCGTCACCATCGGCGACCCCGCGCCTCTGCACCACTTGGCAAACGTTTTCTTTCGTCTCTTTCTTTTTCTGGCTCTCACTTTCGCCACGCGTATACCAATACTTATATACACCTAATCGCCTTCTGTCCGTGCACACGTCCACATGTGTGTGTACACGTACCGCTGTCAGTTAACGGCTAAACGCGGCCACGTCCACACGCGAGCACCTTCTCGTAAACTCGCGCTTGTGAGGGTTGGTAGTTGGTATACATAATTATATAGGGTATACTGATGACGGCAGCAACGACGACAACCATAACTGCCGTACTCGACTCGAAAGATACCTTCCCTTTCTCTCTCTGCTTCTTCCACTTCTTTCTAGCTCACTCGTTACGTTCTTCTGGCAATGGATCTACCGTAATTTTCAACTTCCCACTGTGGTGATTCTTCTTTCGCTCCTCTGTCTTCGTTGCTCCCTTTCCCTTTTCGTGCGTCTCTCAGCTAAACTCGTCGCATTAATACCTGATCGTTCTGCCCTGCCAAACTCCATGGAAATTTACAAGTCGGTGCACGAAAAAAGAGGCACACAAATGACATGTCCAAAATTGACTTTACCTAGGCGCAGTCTGTCAAAAAGCCAGTCTGCGTGGAAAAACCTTAGTCGAGATTTGATATGGAGCGCACAATTAATTTCTAAGAAATAAATCATACCTTTTTGCAAAAATGGCAATATTTGTCATTTTTACCAGTTTGGTACTTTTTTTTTTTTTTTTTTTTCGTAAAGAACCACAATTATTATTGATCACTGTTGTGATTTTTACAAGCGTTTTTCAAGTTTTAAGAGATTGCTTTTTTTACATTGGATATTTTATATCAGTTTTCAATTTTAATATGTTTTTCTTCTAATAAACACTTTTGTAAAATTAGCAGCATACAGTCGGCGATTTACAATGTAATATCAAAAAAAAACGTGGGAGAGTCGAACGTGTGAAGAAAGAAAAAATACTTTCCTTCGAGCAGTGAATACAGTTTTTGAATCAGGATGAAAACTCGTGCTTACTCCCTTCGTGACGTAGTAGTATATTATACATCCGGCGAGGTAGTATGGATAAATTATTATTATACGACGGATATGAAATGCCTTGTATACAACATTGCTGATTTTTTAGAGATTATTCATGGATAACAATAATTTTTTAGTACATAGTATAATGATTGTACTTTGATAAGTACAATAATTGTTTAGTTCAGAGTAATGAATTCGTAATTACTGAATATTTATGCAAATGCAATATATCTTTTTATGTACGTGTATACACACACTTGTCAAGTTAAGTATTAAAAGTACTTGGTTTTGAAAAATAGCAGTGTATATTGCAAAAGTACAGTTTTTCTATAAAAATCTTTTGAAAACATGTTTAATAAGTGTAAGAGAATAAGACCAATAATTGTCGGCAAAAAGCAGAAAAATTAGTAAAAAATTAGAAAGTACCATTGAATAAGCATGGGTGCAAAACCATCATATATTCATTTATTTATTCAATTTGCCCACATGTATTATTTATCGGTATTCAAAATTTTGAATTATACAAACAATAAGTACGACCGACTTACTACATTAATAATGTGGCTCGTAAGTATCAGCGTTACTTTTTCAGAAGCATAATCAATATAACAAAACAGAAAGTATGAACGATTTATTTTTTACAAGTCTTATTTCATGAATCCTATTGACTAAAATTTCAATAAAAGTTACTAGAGTAAAAAAACACAACATAATTATTACGTTTGGTATACATTATGTTTTTATTTATAGTCTTGATTCGTGCTATTTTATAATTCTGACGCATCATGAAATTGACAAAAAAAGCAGTACTTAAAGTGTTGGGTGTCTAAAGAAAAAGTTGAAAGTAAATATTACATATTATTTTTAAGCTGTGTAGAAAGTAGTGTTTACAATAAATGTAAGAAATGAATATTTTTCACCGCATCTATTAATTATTTATTAAGTAATTGCTTTCTAAGCACCAACAACATTTATTTTTCTTCCAACTTTTTATTATAATTATTATGTGTTTTTACCAAGTGGAAAAATGTTACGCAATGTACGAAAGTGTCCTCCAAACTATTAAAAAAAATTTCCATAGCAAATGCTAGAGGTCACCAACATCCATCATATTTCGTGCGAGTCGATAAGAGAGTTCCCTTGTTCATAAATTTACTTTATACTACAGATAGCGAAATCATGCAGTGTTAAATTTTATATACTTATTGCTGATCATTTTCTTAAGTAATTTGAAAATTCAAATGTCTACTTGTGAGAAAATTGATCGTATGCATTTGTGCTTTACGTAATAACTATGTTTTAAAACGGTATCTTTCAATCATCCAGATATCCGAACTCGAGGTCTTTTTTCTTTTTTCCATTAATTTTTTAATTGAAAATTTTAGGATGAAACAAAGAGTAACATTTATTTTCCGCCCTCGGGTGGTTTTGGGAGGCTGGTACTTCCTTGGGCGAAAAAGCAGTTTTTCGGAACTCGTTCGAAAAGTCTCCTTTACGAGCCTCGTTACGTCCCTCGCCTTCGGCTCGGGCCGCAAACCTCTCGGTTCGCAAACAGAGACTTTTTCAAACTCGTAGGAAAACTACCATTATTTTATTATTATTATAATGAAAACTAACAAAAGTCATAAATCTCATGATATTTAATATGTACTACCTATTCAAATAAATCTGCATAGAATAAAGAGCTGTGAAATTATTCAATACAACACAATCGTTGCATGGGACAATACTTAAACAATCATCGATTGATGAAAGGTATATCATATAGTAAAAAAAAAAGTTGTTGGAAACTAGAAGAAAAAATTGAAATGAAAGAATGAAAAATCTCATTTCACTATTGTCATGCTGGTACTGTAGATAAATATTTACCAACAACACCTTCATTCCGTTTACTCTACTCAGTTCGTTATTATTGATAGATTATGGATTATGGTTATTTAAAATCTAAAAAAAAAAAAAAAAAGGTTGAAAGGCAAGACTTTTTTTTTGCAACAGCAAGGATCAGTAACGCTTAACACTTAATTCTAAAATGAAAAATAAATTTTGGACGGAGGGTCCGGCTTTTATGCTTCTATCAAGGTGTCTTGCTCCCTCCTTTGCTTTTTGCACTTTTCCCAAGAAGCAGTAAAGTATGTCTGTACATATAGGTACNTTGTAGACTTGATTGGGTTGAAAAATTACTCGACTGCCAACGAGGTAGCAACATTTTTGTTTATGGTATAAAAGAATGACGAGATGTTCGGTCAAATAGGAAAAAAAAAAAAAAAAAAATTCGTCATTTACAAGTCATTGCAATAACTACAGCAAGGATCAGTAACGCTTAACACTTAATTCTAAAATGAAAAATAAATTTTGGACGGAGGGTCCGGCTTTTATGCTTCTATCAAGGTGTCTTGCTCCCTCCTTTGCTTTTTGCACTTTTCCCAAGAAGCAGTAAAGTATGTCTGTACATATAGGTACATAGCAGCAGCTGATTAGAGTGTTGTCTCTATCATTATATATATTTATGGTACCTAAATACACTGCGGCTGCTGACAATACTTAGATTCTCGTAGCTCGTAGGGGAGCGAATGACGAGGACGGTGACCATATGCTATATAGCGACGCATCAGTGCGAACAACGTCACCTGCTGCCGCTGCGTATATATACTGCAGCTGCTGATCATCTCGCCGTACTTGACGACAGTGTATGTATGTGTTTGTGGGTGTGCGCGCACGTACATACTAACACATACGGACAAGGAGATCTGACTAATTCTCTCCACTGTGTTACTGCTTCTCTGTTTGGTTCCTCTCTTTTCACATTTGTTTATGCCATTCTTAGGCAAATTTGCTCGCAAGAGCAGTGTAAAGTTGTTTTCATTTTCACCGATGTTATTACTTTTATTATTATGCGATAAATGTGACTTCAATCACGGACAAAATCTAAAAATTCGGAATGGGGAACCCCATCCAGGGCCAACGCCAGCACCGATTTCTTTCGTCATAATGACAAGGCAGGTGCACTTTCTATGTTCATTTTAAGTTGTTTTCATCCTTGGCTTTTAAATGGTTCCCCAGCTTGGTTTTACTTGCACATTAATGTCTTTTATAATTTCGTCATTTTTTCTCAAATAAACTTATTGTTAACTGCAACTCAATCGGAACCTAATAGTACTTAACCTAAAAATATAATTCAACTTCAATCAACTACTGTGTAATACTCAACTGTTCCTTATAAAGTTTTGTCAATATTACCACAATTATGAAAAATTTTCCTTTACTTACAATACAGTATCATCGATCTTTAGACAACTCCCCTTTTTTTTAAGTAGTCTGCAGTATACCTAACTATTTTGTTTTTGCAGTTTTATAGATTGTCAGCTTTTCATAATTTTGCAACACTTTAAATCGACACGATTTCAATATTTCATCATTTTTCATCAAATTTACTAGTTTTGGCGTACAAACTCTTTCATACTTTTAATTTAAATGACTCTGAAAAATTTTAATTCAATGAAAAATATTTTTATCGAGTTAAATGAGTTTTTTTTCAGTTTTTGAGCAAGACCGTAAATTTAAGACTGAATCACTGATGCAAGGGGCAATCGTTGTTTCGTTTCGAACAGAAAAGCATCAATGGGAAACTGTTTATCATGTTTTAAGGTGTCTCCTCCACCAGTCACAGAAAACCAATCACCCGTCTTGGATCTCAAAGAAGGTATTATTATTTTTCATTTGCACTTTTCACGTAAAACTATTAAGATTTATCATTCGATGGTGTAATTGCTTGAAACAGAAACAATGGAATTACGCACTTTGTATCAACACAATCAAAGTCAAAATCATTCACACAAAACGGTAGAGTCTCAAGTCAACGGGAATAAAAGAACCACCATAAACAATACGACACCGTTTAACGGGGTGGATTTGGATAACTGTAGCTCCATGCCCATAGTCCAAGGTAGCTTGCGTAGTTTTTACTCAAAGTTGCCCCCTTCGAACAAATCGGCGACGAGTATTGCTGTCAGCACAGCAACGGAATGTAAACAAAAAGAACCGTCGGAAGTTAGAATCCACTCACTTTTTGAGTGTTACAAGGTAATCATTCAATATGATATATTTAAATAATAGATGATAAGTATGACATTACAACACCAAGGACGACAAAGTAAACAATGTTGCAGATCGCATGTGTACTATATTTGTATTGTCACCCGAGTTGAAGCTATAGCGATATGAGCATTATTTAATTTCGCCCGTGGTGTGTTTATATTTAACATATTTTAAGCATCTGAAAGTATACGACCTTCATCCCAGTGTTTGGGGAGAAAAGTAACATTTTCTGGCGAAGGGTATTTTTCTCTTGTCTTTGCGAATTCAATCGATGAATTTATATTAACAGTCTCAATTTTACTAAACTCAATTAATCAGGGACAAACAGCTTCATTTGCCAGTTGAAGTTTAAAAAGTATTACAAAAACTAAAATACCACAGTGATTATACTACGGTTATCTATTCAACAGATTTCTCAACAAGTGTATCACGAATTCTTCGTGAGTGTTTCAGGAAATGTGTTACTTTGATGCTACGTCATAAAATTTTTAATCACATTTTTATCATCGATAAACCGTAGAGTTCTGTTTACTGTTTATTTGTAAACGTAAATTAGTGGGTTTAAAAAAAAAAAATTTTTTTTTAATCTAATTTTGTGGCAAAAGCTGTTGTATATTAGCATTTTATTACACTTATTTTGTCAATGTTAATAATTCAATATTATCGGCCTGGTGAAGGATTCGCGGGAAGACCTCATATTGGCAGACGGCATGGAAAAACTTTGCACGGATCTGCAGCTTTCGCCAGACGAATTCAAGGTACTGGTACTTGCATGGAAATTAAATGCCGAGCAGATGTGCCAGTTTACGCGGCAAGAGTTCATTCAAGGCCTGAAGGCTATGAGGGTCGACAGTATCAAGGGTATTCAGCATCGATTGCCTGACATTGTCGAGGAGCTGAAAACGAACGCTGAATTGTTCAAAGATCTCTACAGATTTACATTTCGCTTTGGGCTTGACGTAAGCTCGGGTCAGCGAATATTGCCTGCTGATATGGCCATTGTCTTGTGGAGGCTGGTTTTTACGATACGCGAGCCTCCGTTGCTCGAGCGATGGCTCAATTTTCTCGAAAGCCATCCCGTCAGGGGTATACCCAGGGACACGTGGAATATGTTTTTGAATTTTGCCGAAAGCATTGGTAACGATCTAAGCGCGTACGACGATGCCGAGGCATGGCCAAGTCTTTTTGATGACTTCGTAGAGTACGAAAATGATCAAATGAATCAAAACGTCACCAAAAACGATTTTCTCAAGGACTGATCATTAAAACCATTTTTTAACAACACGACTGATTTTTTCAATCTTTTGATAGATGTTTGTTTTTAAATTAATTTCAGTGCAGTTTTAACAAATATTTGTGGCACCGCTTGGTTGAAAAAAGTGCCAACTCCAGTTTACTTGGAATATAAAGTGCTACTACTCCAAATTGACTGAAAAAAAAGTTCCGTCTCAGAATTTTTTTTTTTTTTTTTTTGACCCTAATAGCATCACTGTAAAGCTTCTTTTGTAACAAAGTTGAGATTGCACTTTGTTAACTCGAGCCATCGAGATAATGATGAAAGATTTAAATTATGAGTATGACTTTAACATGGACCAAACTTAATAAATATGAACAAATTATCCCTAAAAAAAAAACAAGCTTAATTTTGCAATGACAAAACAAAAAAATGCTAAGGTAAATTAATCTTTAGAATAAAACCGAGTAGGTTTTATATAAACCATAGTAATCTAACTTGAGAACAAAATTTTTATAGCGTCTTTCGTTTTAGCTTGCGATCTCTGCGTCTAATTATTTTAAGTCCCCATCCTGACAAAAATCGATATTGCAACCTTTACTAGCAATCGGGTAATCGTAATACATAGAGTACTAACAAAGAAAAATGTGTTTACTTTAATTTGCGCTATCCAATAATGTTATTACTGTTGTGAAATAGTGAATTTTCGGACAAATAGTTTCCAAACTCGTTGCGTAATTTCAGAGAATCGAAAACAACTTAAGGGATAGGATATTATACAGAAAGAAGGATTTTTTCAATTTTAAGGTATCAAAAAGCGTGATTTTTATAGAAAGTTATATACGATCGTATGAGTAAATATGCGTGTACATAAAAAAATGCACATGTGCGTGTTGGACATAAAGGTTTTATAAATAATATTTTTTAGTCTTACACATGTTTTTACTGCTACTATTATTATTGTTAGTTACGTAAATCACCGACTTTTGCAACTTTTATATTTTACTGTATTTTTAATACAATACTTTGTGATCAAATCAAACGTGTAACTGTTGTTTAATTTAAGATACTTACGGTCCGTGATCTACGTAAGATATTAACTTGTACATATACGTAAATATAGGTGTGTTTCGATGGATACATGTAAATTCAGAACAGTGCAAGTATCAAGTTGAACATAATACACTGATCTAAACTTGTGATACGTAACATATGTATGTATATATATGCTCGAATTAGTTCATTTATTATTATTATTGAATGTAGAATTGTAATGAAAGAAAAAAATCAAAGTTGTACAAAAAACGTAAATCCAACGACTTATAATAATTTATAGAAAAAAATTTTCTGGATTAATCAATGTTTTTGACTACATAGATGTTTTGTACAAAAATTTTTTTTTTTTTTAATCGTTACGATTCTTTAACATTTTTACAACTACATGAAAATTAAACTTCATATTATTTGTTGAAAATAAAAAAAAAGTTTGTGCAATTATTGAAATAACAATCTAGTCTTTATTTATTGGAACTTATTTTGCAGCACTGATATAAAATTTTTGTGATGAAGAATGACTTTCCCTACCTCGGGCGTTTTTGAGGGTCGGGTGTGCCCTCGGTAGGAAAAATAGGATTCGCACCTGGTGCGCCCCCCACCTGGGCAATACTTCGCAGGCCCCCCGGGCTTGGTGCTTACCCCGGCTACATGCGCCACCAGCTTCGAAAACTACCATTTCTTAAACTATTTCATACCGTTGTACTCATATAATGTTCGTCGATTTCTCTTCATAAACCTTGAAATTTTTGTTTTGCATCTATATGTATATATTCCAACATTTCATGGTAAATTAACGTCTGTTGTGTCACGATGGATAAAAATGATCGGTTAATTAGATAGGTGCTCCATACTTATTCAGTATAAAGAATGTATAGTATATGATACTTTTTGAAACTTGTGGACTAGTTGTTTAATCGATGTCGAAAGGAGAAATGATAATTAAGTGATATTTACATATAAGATTTTTTTTTAAAAGGCACCAACTGGAAGGTTTATGATTTATGTTTCTGCAAATGATGAAATACAAACCAGAATGATTTGTAGTCATGAACTATCAATTAAATTCATAATTTTTCTACTCAGTTTGATCAAGTTAAACGTATTGTAAATAATATTCATACAATTTTGGTTTATTACATAAACAATAATAATAATAATGTTTAATGAATTCATTAATTGCTACCATACAAGCACTCACTGTGAAATATGAACTAAAAATATTAAAAAGTGTATTTTAAGTTTTATTTCATGCAGTTATGCAGTTTGCAACAGTTACACTTCCTTAATTACAAAATATACGTGGCCTTTATCATTACAGTTTATAATGATATATGTAAATAGGAAATGGATTGGCAAAGAGCTGTGTTGTACATTTACATGATATGTTACATTAAAATTTTGATATTTACAATTACTGCGTATTAATTTGACTCAAAATAATAACGTGTGAGTGAAAAATTTAAGATTGAAGGAAACGTATTAAAAGATGGGGATCGGTAAACTAAAGCACAAAAAAATCGCTTATTTATATTCTACAATGGAAAGTGCCAACAAGCCGATAGACAAAATTCAAATATCAAGCAAAAAAATGTATGTGTTTGTAGCTAATTACATCGAATATTATATATTTGCGAATTGATGAACATTAATTCATAAATTTGTTTCAATTTAGTCTTACGACTTATTTATTTCATATTCTTTGATTTTTTAAAAATTATATGTTTTAGTAATAATTAATAAATATATGGATTGAAATTACGTCTAACAATAAAATAACATTTATTTGAAACTTTATGGAATTGATTTTGACATTTGAAGTCTATGTTACATTTAAATTTTCACAGTATGCTGAAATTAATAGTTCCCATACAGTTTCTGAAGGTTCAACATAATTGTATATACATTGAATAAATTTTTTCGGTTATTTCGGTAATTACACATGACAATAGTTATAGGCTGTTAAGATCCCCGTTGAGTTGCTTAACGGTAATGAATTCACAGTAATCAATTTGTCGTATTATTACAATAGCCTGTTCAATTCGTTAAAAATAGTCAAAGCTTTGCTTTTATTCATGGGATAAACGTTGCCTTATCTTTCATTGCAGATTTGTTTGGTGAATCGAGATAGCGATAAGTTTCAAGAAGATATTTTTAAATATTGAACTTGTAAGATTACATTTACATATTTTCAATTGTAAAACTAATGAACCACTCTCAACAGTCATGTTAATAATATATCTAGATTACGGGTCAACAAAATCTACAATACCAATCTAGTGCACGTCTCAAAATCTCGTAATTACACGCGTTTCTGTAATACTGCACAACATAAATGATATAAAAAATACAAATACTTTTAAATACCTTATCATAATAAAAATCTCACGATCAACCTATGGTGTATTATGGATCACGGATAATTTTAAGTTAAAAAAAAGATATGTGCACAATCATAGGTTATCTATCAAGATACAAGCATTTCGTCACTTTTATTTTCATGTACAACTTAAAGTTGTGTTTCGTTAAATGTACATTAATGATGATAATATTTTTGAGCCCTGAGATCTTTTCATTGTACAAGGAAGGGCATTTCTTATAGCGGTAGGGTGAGTGAACCATCAAATCTAACTTAAATTTTTGCTTAAAAAGTTTCGTGGTAAATTTAATTTACTAAATTATTCATAATATTTTTTGCTGAATAATTTGGTTTATTTTTACATATTTTAGCAGCTATACGTTTTTTTTTTTAATCATAATTTGTTGTTAATAGAAAATAAACTTTTTCGTGGATGCAAAATTTTATTATAATCACACAGATTTTTCTAAGCACATCCCTAAAATTTAAATCCAAATAAAATTTCAGTGAAGTTTAAGCTTGGCACTGACGATCTTTTAAATGCAGTGCGATGTACGGTATTTTTTTAATATAATAAATTAAGTTTGTCAAACAAACTAACGCATGTCCCTATTACTTGACTGAGTTTATGGTCCTATCTAGGCTATTTCGAGTATAATTATTTTGCTGGACAATTAAGATTAACTAATCAATAAAAAAAACCTTTTTCAAGTTTAAAACTTGTATGTTTTAAGATGATTTTTGGTATTACTTGACTTAGTACAAAGTAAGATGAAGAAATACAAGAAAAAAATCAGTACTACGTTGCATTAACGTGAAGATTATCTCTTTAAACAAAAACTGGAAGTTTATTCATTTATTTCGTTAGCATGCGTCCAAACACTTTAGAGCCGTATCATTAAAGTGAATTTTGGAATAGTTTTTAAATATGTACATTTGTACCTTTACATTGTTTTCATATGTCGAGCAATAAATTTTGATACACATCTCAACAGCACAACTATTAGTAAATAATCCTAAATTCTACAGTCTTAACAATAAATAACCATTCGTACCGACACGATTAGGGCGAATGCTCAGCAGTATGAAAACGAAACAATGGATCATTATCAACATGGTGATGTGTAGCTCATCCATATCTCTCTCTTTTTTTTTTTTTTTTTTTTTTTTTTCTTCTCTCGATAAGTACAATATGTTTGTATTTTAAGCATATTTCGAACGGCTATTCTGTAGGATATTTTCCCTAAGTATATCACGCATTAATGAATTCTTGCACTTTGCGCTTGCGAATACTTCGAACACAATACAACGTTACAATATACATAGCCTGTGTGCATTTATGCATGTGTTTTCACCAACTTACATGCATTAGAATGAATGTGTACAGTGTAATGTCACGCTGTTTTTTGCTTTTTTTTTTATTTTCCGATCGACCCCCAAGTTAACTTCAATTGCGGTGCATCTAAGCATTAAAAAAAAAAGAAAATAAAATAAAAAAAAAAAACGATAAAGCGGTCGATGAGAAACTGGCGAGATTCAGCAACAGGAGCAGTGGTGATCTATTCATTCAGCAGTAACGAAAAAAATGTTGAAAATGTAAGGAAACACGAGCAACCGTTTCATAAGTTTGATCAACGCATAGTTGGCAGATGGACACAGCGGCCGAACCATCATGAGTGCGTCCGCGCGTCTTACGGCTCAACCCGGATGAGAACTCGCGACTCAATAAGTCGGGGCCTGGAAGTCGCCCATTGGTCTCTGTTGCTGGTACTGCTGCTGCTGCTGGGCAAAAGGTGGGTCCTGGTAGGCGGCGTCCGTGCCGTCCGGGTAGCTCGAGTAGCCCTGGCCGCCGGAGGGATCGGCCTCGAAGGTCGAGGCGAAGGCTGGATCCACGCCCTGCTTGAACCGCTGGTACGCGAACCACGAGCAGCCAGCCTACCGTTGAGTCATGCATGCGCATAAACAAAAAAAAAAAAACATGTTGATCACAGAAATGTTATCGCTGTTGCGTATGTACTCATCTCAATGAACCTTTTTTTCTTTCGCCAACCTCGATGGAAGGTTTTTCATTTTCTTTTTTTTTTTTGTTTTGCTTTCTCTACGCATATTATTTCATACATTGATCACTACACACATGGAATTTTAAGAAAGTGAAAGCGATGGTGTTGCATTTGAAACGAATCGTACCTACATAATTATATACACGTATGAGTACTTGCAAGGGGCACTTACCCAAGTTACGATGGAACAGAAAGATAAAAGTATGGCGAACTGGGCGCTTGTCGTTCCGTAATGGTTCTCGGGCTCTTCGGTCTTGTTCCACGCGCTTGACAGCCAGCAAAAGGCTATGAAGTAGAGAAAAGCCCAGAAGGACGAGAAACTGCAAGAGCAAACGCGAATCTTTGATTACGATGATCGTGACGCGTTTTCGAAAGAGTGGATATTACTTATGAATGTCAAAGTCGAGAGAAATTATCAAGTGCACGTGTACGCACCCAAGGTCACCGAGGACATAGTGTTTGCGAGTCTTCACGGATGACATTTGCTCGAAGAGGTACTCTCCGACCAAGAAGCCAATACTCCCGACTAGCCCGAGAAAGCCGACGATCTTGCCGTAGCTGCAAGCGCTCGCGTCCCCATTGTACAGGCAGACGTCTTTGCCGTCCTTTTCGATGTAGCCCTTGCCGCTTATGCACGAGTAGACGATTAACGAAGAAAACTGTAAACAGACGCAAGGATTGGTGTCACTTTTTTTTATTTTTTTTTTTTTTCTTACGTGTTGATAACAGTAAACTTGGCAGCATGAGTTCACAAGGGCCCCGCATTACCTTTGTGGGTGAAAGTACTCGATCAATACATCCTATACTATACCTGATTTTCCAATTAATCCTATTTACTTGGCCTTTTTGTTATAAGATTTTACTGCTTGCAACGATAATATTTTTAATACACACTTATTTGCTTTTTATTGAACAACACATCGCGATTCCAGCCAGGTTTTTCAAATGTATGCATGGGGTGGAGGGAACACCCTAAAAAGTCGATAGAAAATTTTGATAACTATAATCTAGAGTACTCTTCTGGTGAAAAAACGTTCATTTCACCAGCTGTACGCTAACTAACCACAGAGCCAACGACCGCTTCCGATATGACTATTTTTGTTGTTCATTTTTTTTTTTTTTTTTTTCCATCCCACTCGTAATTTTTCAGCCATTGAACCTAAAATGAATACATTTTTCTTTGATAAAAAAAAATTCCAAGGAATAACTAATTTTTTACGAAAATTGATCAACTATGTATGGAAGTACTCATCGAAAATAATAANATGTACAGCTTTTCTTCTGTACTTTTATCTAATAGGCATAAAAAGGAACGAAGTACATGTGTGTTTTTTCAATATTTTTTTTTTTTTTTTTTTTTCCATCCCACTCGTAATTTTTCAGCCATTGAACCTAAAATGAATACATTTTTCTTTGATAAAAAAAAATTCCAAGGAATAACTAATTTTTTACGAAAATTGATCAACTATGTATGGAAGTACTCATCGAAAATAATAATCTTGAGGTGAGGGACTCGGTTATATTTTTATCGATACGCTCGAGCTCATTGGTCACGGTCGACAATATTTTACTCTCAAACACAGCCAGCTGTGCTCGTGAGAGAGAGAGCGTATGGCCGTGCATTTGTGTAGAGGTGCACTACGAAGCTTTGAAAGCAAAGTCAACCAGCGGGACAAGAGAAAGAGAATAAGTACAATCACAATTTTTATCAGTGACCCTAAATCAACGCTAAAATCACAGGGGCACAAATAAATGAGTACGATTTAAAAAAAATGACTAGTAAATAAATGGATGTTCACAAATACTATTTTCTTGTTTTAAGCGTAACAAATTTCTTCAGAGGTGTTATTTGGTACGAGCTTTCTAATGTTCTACACGTACGGATCAGCCGTTCGTTATTAGGTACACTTTGCACCTATACGTTGTGTTAACGAGTCTTTCACATTCTTACTTGTAGACTTGATTGGGTTGAAAAATTACTCGACTGCCAACGAGGTAGCAACATTTTTGTTTATGGTATAAAAGAATGACGAGATGTTCGGTCAAATAGGAAAAAAAAAAAAAAAAAAAAAAAAAAAAAAAGAAACTGATGTGGGTCACGGAGTGAAATGACCCATTTTTAAGTTTGTCAATAAGACAGGCTGTGGATTTGTTTTAAAAATTCATCATCGCGAGAGGTAAGTATACTTTATTATTCAAACACCACTTGGTTTTCTCGTTAGGTGTCTTTTACACAACCAAGTGGAGCACTTCTTCCGAAGCCAGAGAGACCCACATCTCACCTGCACTGCTCGTGCATCGTACTCATTCCACGTGATGATAATCGGGGTGATCTACGGAATTGGCATTGAAGTACAGGTTTAAAATTATTCACGTAGCAGAGCCGAAACGGCGATGGAGTGTTAAATCCACGCGAACCGTCAATCAATATTCGACGGAAGAAATAAAAAATCCTCAAGAAAGTTGCGTTCGTCGCCGTGTAACACGAGATAATAAAATAACCAAGTGTGCCTTGCGCTAAAAAGTGAAAAAAATCCAGTCAAAGGTGAAAATAAACCGTAAAAAAACTAAAACATGTATTTTGCCACGGTGATGACGGTGATCGACCGAGGAGTGTCGGATGGTACGAAAAGAAGAGGGCCACGGGAAAGAGCATGCCAAGAAGAAGACTTATGCACTTGGTACGAGGGGTAAGAATATACATATATGTATACGATGATGCGTGGGGCTGATTCTGCGCGTGACGACACAAGGCAATATATAATATGTAGGAACGGCAAAAGATTCAAGTCCACCTCGTGCTTACGCGCGCTCCCCCGTCCAATGCTATATTGCTGGCGAGTCAAGGATCCCGCTCCCCTTGACGTGGCACACGGTCGATCCCGAGGGGGGCCGTCAAGTGACGCGCGCGCAGCGCACATTATTTTTTTTTTCTCCCCACGGCCTTGGAGGGGCCCCCAGGGAGCACAGCTCCAGGATATTGGGGTATCGTATGGCACCAAGGTTGCTTGTGCATGGGGGTATACGCGTAAGAGGAGCTTTCACGATGTTCGATTAAGAAGAAGTTGGAGGAGGCGCACTCACCAGGCACACGCCCCGGAGGATGACCTGCGGCCTCTGGACGAAGGTGATGGGGTCGAAGGCCGCCCCGGCCTTGCCACCACCGTAAGCTCCGCCGACGTCCATTTTAGGCTTAGCGACCGAGTGAGGGGCTGCCTCGACAACTGCAGGCTCTCGGTGGCGATGACGAGCAGAGCTTTTCGAAAAGCTCCCTCACTTGTGCCCTCCTGGTTATCGCTGCTGGAAGGCTAGTGCGTGGGGGACACCCCATCGGGGCTCGGCGCCTGCGCTCCTTCGTTTTGTTTTATCATATGTACTCATGTACCAACTCACCTGATGTGCATCGAAGGAGCTTGCGCGCCGCTCGGAGGTGCTTAGGGTGTACACAATATATTGTACAGTGGGGGAGGCGCGCGATCAATCGCCAGTGGAATTCACCCCCGCATCATTTTTTTATCCACTGTTGATAATATCATACTTATTGTTTTTTCCCAACTCGCGCTTACGATGTCGGCCACACGGATACTGCTTTTCAAAACATGAGCGTTGCTCTCGTGTCGGGAGGAACACTCCTTGGTGATGTCGGTGGCTCGGGAGTTAAGGGCTGCATTGCTGATCGTTGATTCGAACGTCCGCGCGCGTACTTTTTCGTACAGGTTAGCAACAACTGGGGGCAGGGTTGCCACCACGATGCCGTCACAGTTTTTACTTTCCCTCTTGGTCGATAAAATATACCATTAATCGAGTGACGTTACAACCACTCGTTTCTATTAGATGTACTTATTTCTTTCAAAGTGTCTTTTTTTAACAGTATTTTTTTTTTTTTTTTTTTTATCTCGAGAAATGCACAATACACGTTTGCTCTCGTTGATGCTTCCATCCGAGTATCTGACTTCGGCAGTGTCCAACCCCCAACGTCAATAACTATGAAAGTATACGCTCGGTGGAATTTAAACTTTTTTTTTTTTTTTTTATGAATAATTTTCCGACGCAAAACGAAAATTTGTTACTTTTTTACAATACAATTTGTTACTTATTGTAAATACTTATGTGTCTAACACTATGAAAAAACGATAATTATTTTATTCGTGCACGAATCAGTGATTCGTGATTTTACGCGTAGAGTGTCCATTACCCCGGACTGCAGCGTACTCACTTACCGACATGGAGTATACGCTACGTTATACACACACACACATGCATGCAAACACGTAGGTGCAATGTGTATTGTTTTGACAGATAAAATCGGTGTTTACGTACGAAAACGAAATTGATACAGAGACGCGAAAATAACAGTGTGATAACCCATTACCACTGTAATGAACATCGTTTGGAGCTTGAAACGAGCTTGGAACTCTGGGCTGCGCTCGTAAAATGTGACCGTATAATTAACGCGTATTATATTTTGGATGAGGTTATGTAAGGTCGAGCTCCGCCGATGATGTAAAGTAGTGCTGATAAATACGCTGATTTTTCACATCTAAGTGAAATTTTAGTTCGGCTCTTATCATTCGGTATACTCCAGTAATTGACGTTAACGAGTTATGAATCTTTGCAAAGCAATGCGCCCTAGTGCTTATAGGTTTTAAATAAATCCATTCTCGTATCCATCACTTGCAACTTCACATTAACTTATTAAACACGTGATCCATAAATTACCTACTTGCAAAATATGCTGATATCTAATGAGTGCGAATGCGAATACGTGTTCACGGGGCTTTTTTTGGAAAGTCGCCCAGTGCCTCGTGGGGGCATGTTGACCACGCAACACACATACACCTACAGTGTGCCTTATCTTATCCGTGGGATATTGAATTATTACTGAACACGGATAAGTACTCGGTTTTATAACTGAAAACGCCGGCAAAAAGACACGCCGAAGACCGGGCCAACTTTGTCGCAGTGTATAGGTATGTTTACCGGTTGCAGTACATAGTTTGTTTAAGTACTTGGTCACTGCTTGAAAAAAAGTCACAAAAACTCGCTATCCATACCAAAGCAGTACACAAGTCCATCGGTTGTCGTCGAAAATGCTTCTGCTGCTGCTGACAAGTATCGTTCAGAGGATCAACGAGCGCTGGTTCAACGTGCAAAAGCGAACGAGCGAGGGCATCCAGTCTGCCAAAGATGCTGTCTTCCGCGGTGGCCTCGTTCTCGTCACCGGAGTCGTCATCATCTGGCTCTCGATATTCCTCTACACCGCTTTTTATTACGCCTACATGCCCAGCATGACCTACATCAGGCCGGTCAATCTTCAATTCAAGTAAGTATCATTAGTTGATCTTTTTCATTGTATGCTTTGTTATATTTTTGTAATTATCATCACCAATAAATTACATATGTCGAACTTGGACACCTACTTGTACTCGCTTGTAGTCCTTAGCCCCTGACGTTGAACTACTTTAAAGGTCGTGCGACAAAGACAAAGGTGTCTGCAGCTTTCCCTCGGCCTACGTGCAACTGACCAAGAAGCAGCAGTTGCTGATGGTCGGGCAGCCTTACAAAGTCCATTTGCAACTGGAAATGCCTGAGTCACCGGCTAACAGAGAGCTTGGTAATCATCCATCCAATTTTTTATTATAATGTCACATCTAGTCTTTTGTTTATTTATTTATTGGTCTGTACCTTTTATTCATCAGGCATGTTCATGGTCTGTGCTCAGCTACGCAGTCGCGATGGTGTGCTGGTTGAACACGCTTGCAGATCTGCCATGCTGCACTATCGCAGTGCTCTGCTGCATACCTTGACCACTCTGACGTTTTCACCTATGATGATATTTGGTACTTTTGAGGAGAAACAAAGTGTCAATCTTGAACTCTTTGGAAACTTTGAGGAAGATCAGGTCGGTAGCATGGACTTGCCAAAATCGTATTGTTATTGTAGTTCATTTTTTATTATAGGAATGAATTTAAACAAATTTCTTTTTTTTTTTTTTTTCATCAGAGTCATCCAGTTACAATAATCTATGTGGAAATTCAGTCAAGACACATTGAATTTTATTCAGCCACAATTATTATAAATGCTCATTTGTTTGGCCTACGTTACTTGATGTTTCACTGGCCTATTCTGTCAGCATTGGTTGGCATTGGTACAAACTTGTTTTTCATAGTGTTCATGTTTATCCTATCCTATCTACACTTTTCTTCAGAGGATGAAAATACAGATGAAAGTTTTAATTATGAAAAAGGTGCAACGGAAGATGATGAGGATGATGAAGATCAAGAAGAAAAAGAAAAAGATTTAAGGACCAACGGTGGTGACAGTAAGTATGTGTATATAAATTACATAAGAGGGACCCCGCAAAAAACATTTTTGGGTTCCTGAAGGGAAATCAATTTTTTTTGTCAAACACACCTCTACAACTACTCTGTGTTTTTCCTGGCCCTAGGACTGACAAAAAAATTTTCAACACGCTATTCAAGTCTTGTGATACACTTTTTTTTAGTCATTTCACGTTTTTCAATGTACATTGCGCCAACCCCGGAAATAATTTTCAATTCCAGGGTAATAACCATTTTTTTTTATTCCTTTGCCTATTACTTCTTATTACTTTCATTGTTAAAGCGCCATTTGTTGATTGACAGCCCCAATGTGTACGTATATATACGTGTGACATTTTTCAGTTTGTACAGATACTTCGTCCATGGAATATACATCAATGTTGGAAAACATTCCAGAAACATTGAATGAGAGCGAGCCAACCTCTTCTTCTAGTCCAGTTTTGAGTAAATCCAGTTATATCGAGGATATTTCTTCTCTACTGGAAGACTCGACTATAAAGGAACTTTTCGAATGACAATATTACTTTTTTAATGCATTCAGTTATGCATAATGCGAAAAGATGCCAAATATGTACATAGGAACTGAACGAGTACAATGTTTTTCTATCCATTTTTTACATTCGTAACATTCATTGACCATTGTGGGCCACTAGAAGTAACAATTTATGTGATATCTATTTTTTCATGTATAATTATAAGGATATTGTTTTCTGTTGAGTTTTTGGAATTTTTTTTTCTTTTTAATTGCAGTCATGTTTGTATGATTAATAAAGTACAGTTTGATTTTTGTTATTTTTTGAACTAAAATGTCATGTAATGTAATAATCATTCCAAAAGTGGGAGAAACTCCCCTCTTGTTCACGTCCATCTCACCAGCGACTTTATATAATTTTTTTCTGATAAATTAAAAAATATCCCATTAATATTAAAATAACGTTTTTCGCGCTTTTCTAAAAAATCAGACAAAGTCCTACATTCTATATTATTAAACAGTAAAATACTTAGTTTTGAGTTTTTCTGTGGATGAAAGTTGTGTTGAATTTACTCAACTCGGCAACAGTGGTGCTATCAACAGTGCCCTTACAAAGAAAAGTGGTGGTGCATGCGTACCTATAATTTTATATACCGATGGTGCAATAGCTATACATCATGTACGAGTGAACAAGGAGAAAAGAGAGAGAAAGGAAAGAGGAGGTTGAAGGCAGAGATACCCGTATTAAAAACTCACTTTTCCGTTCAGACTCGTTGTAAGTGTTCCATTGCTTGTACCTAACTCTGTATTTGTAAGTATATCTATATACATGATAAATGCCCGTACGCTGCATCGACTCATATAATTTCTTAGTATATTACGTTACGAGGCCGTAAAGTGGCTGATGTACGGCCGAGTGACGTATACAATTTTTCGCTATCCTGTATGGGAAAGTTTGTTCAACAGGTTGATTTGGTTAACGCAGGGAAAAATGAATCGCCGAGGTCCTAATGAAGTGCGAACGGACGAACGATGCATAAACGAACGTGCCCAATAATTGGACTGACCGATCGATCACAAAAAAACATACGCATAATTCAACAGTGAATGCTAGAATGCATTTTTTTTTTTTTTTGATAGTTCTTCAACGTACACTAAAAAAGAACTTTCATTAAACGATACTTCATTCTTGGTTTTCCAGTCCATGCATTGAATATGCGCTTTTTCATATAGAGCGCGAGACTTTCAAGGTACCAGTCCAATAACCATGAAAATTTATTCACCATTACCTACAAGCAACTCTAAACTTGAAATAAATTTTATTAAAAAAACACGTAGTGGTTATTTTGATTACACGTACACAAGAGACGAGAAACAGATCATACGGTAAACGATAAGTAAGAGAAGGTAAAAAAATGGGCAATGCTATATTTAATATAGGCGTGAACCGACTCGACGCAACGATAAAGGCGGATAGCAGAAGGCATTGAAAAGGTGAAACGACAATGCGCACATGCGTCTGGCCGTTAAAAAAAAATACAACTACAACACAACACTTGGCCGCCATATATACATAGATGCCAATATTCGTTATAGATATCATATATATAGATAGCTAATCAGTGTGCATTTGAGAACACAGGCCTCGTAGAAGCGCCTCGCTCAGCGGACGGTAAGAAATCCAGCGGCCGTACATTTGTCGCTTTACGTCTTACTAAGCGGACGTAAACAACAAACTTTACTGTCGGGGATGACGAAAATATATGTACAGCTTTTCTTCTGTACTTTTATCTAATAGGCATAAAAAGGAACGAAGTACATGTGTGTTTTTTCAATATTTTNTTTTTTTTTTTTTTTAATCCTGCACGCAGTAAAATCTAATTATCCTGCAAGCGGTACTTTTAACAGGATCAATAAAACTAGAACCCAAACGAGAACGTTTTCTTCTAAACTCGGACATTTTAAAAAAAAAAAAAAAATCTTTATGAGTAACCAGTATAGTTAAAAAAAATTAAGGAAAAAGTTTTGCCGCTTATAAAACTTTTTCGTGTAAAATATCGTGTTGTAATGAAGTAAACATAATTTTTGACCCTATAATACATCATCCTATAGGTAAAGCGTATATACAATGTTTGTCTCTGATTTATTCGCTTCCGAAAGATTATATTTTATTGTAGCGATTTGAATTCAGCAGTGGCCCGTTACATCTACAAATCCATAAACCCTGTAGCGATTAAAGGTAGCGCCGATGGTAGAAATCGAAAATGTAAATTCGATCGCTCTAGCGGGGACAAAATGGCGTACATTATAAATATACAATACACGTTGTTTTTTATGGGCAGTACAAGAGTATAGTGTAGGAGCAGCAGGCAATCGTGTGCGCGTCAAGGCTGTCCTTGTTCCCCTCGTATCCTCCTCTCTCGGGCTACTGCTACTCCCCTCATCGAAATCCCTCGTTACCCGAGATTCGGACAGGTGTTCCTCTCGAGATTTCTCTTGCCCCCTCTGATGCCTCTCCCCTCGCGCGCGCCTCGCACTCGATACTCTTTTTTTCCTTTCTCTTCGCTCCCTCGTTCTTCCCACCTGACCGGCTTCTCGGGGCTCGGCACGTATAGGCTTCCCCCCCCCCCCGTATTGGGTGGGTTTACCCAATATTTATAAGGTATACTCACGTCCTCCCGTACGCGATGTTTATCTTCACGAACTGCACGTGTGAAACAATTAACATACAATAAGCGGAGGACACCTCTCGTTCGCTCGCTCGCTCGATCTCTTGGACACATTATACATATAAGTCACACCTACTGTTTGTTGTCGATGCTTATACGTTGCTCGTTTTTTTTTTTTTTTTTTCACGTAAGGTACGCACACATGTTTTTTTATGGCTTATCTGCCAATGCTATTGCATATGACCATTGATAATCGCTGTTTTTGTTTACAAATATACTTATTTATTCATACATATTATACTCACATAGCACAATTGCCAGAGAAAACGGACTTGGTTTAAAATATATTACTATACACACACTACTGTTGTTGCATATTTTACTGCCAGTGGCCTCATTAAACGTAATCCTATGAAGCTGAGTGCATGATTACTGCAGATTTTTCTCATTATGTACTGAAACATTTACCAACAAAAAACATTTTTTTTTTATTAGAAAAAGAGAGTGCCATTTACGTATCTGTGATCATATTTGAACAAACGACTGAAGTCTCATTGATTTGGGATTTAATTTCCACAGTTTTCGTAAATTTAATGCCGTCCAAGTGGTATCTTACGGATGAATGTTTAATTTCACTTATGCTTGACGATTAAACTGAGCACATCGAGTATATACCCTTAAATTTCAAGCGCACGTAAAAATTCAGGTAAACAAGCAGAAGCAAGGAATCCAAGTGGCGAGGTAAGCGCATTTTTCGACGAGATATTCGATCTTCTAAAAGACGTGGGACAAAAAAAAACCGAGAATACAGAAGGCCGGCAGCATCGTTGGCTTTTATATACGAGTGTTATCGGATCCCCGTCTGCAGCGCATAGCCAGACTTGAATCACGTCGATCGAACTTGTAGAGCTTCTCCGCTCTCTCTCGTCTTTTTTGTGTTGTGCTCTTCTTCTGCTTCGAAACCTGCTGCTACCACTGCTATTGGCCTCTCCTTTTTTCTTCGCTCTTTTTTCTTCTCTCTGTCTACTTAACCGGGAATTCGAAACTTTTGCCTCGTAGGTATGCAAATGTAAAAGGCTCTGCTTTCGTTTGATTGCGAGAAGGATGAATTTTTAGTACATACCAATATATTAATTTCAAGAAAGCTCAATTGTAAAACTTTGCTGTCGATGGATTAAGATCAATTAAGTAGTCATCGTATGAAATCATGCAACGTTGAATAATATTGATCATTATTACAGCATTTAACTAGTACTATAGGTGCTACTACTACTATACTATCTTATAATATAAAAAAGTCACACTTTAATAACTTTTACCATAAAAGTTATTTTATCAGTTTTTTTCTAAAATACATGAATTTACTACTAATTTAAAAAAAAGTGTTAAGCTGTCGTATACAACTGTAGGAAAGTATTGAAGGGAAAAAAACGAGCAGATCATTACACTTTTGTTAATTTTAATTTACTGTCTCCAGTTATCAATTGTCGATCTGTAAGTAGATGAAACGTTTGGAATGGATAAACCACACTCAAGTAGATCTGTATTTTTTTTACACAGTGTGAATCAAAATCAATTTTCAAATGTCTTGAAATATAAAATGAAGGATGACGAAAGGTACCGATCGTTTTGATAAAAAAACTGATAATTTCCACGCGTGACAACGATTACGGAGCCAATAAACGAAATGTTTCAGCGTGTCCCCCTTGGACCAACGGAATTTTCAAAAAATTATGCAACACATCCATACGGTTGTGCTTGATTTTGAATTTCAAGCAGCCGATTCGAGGCGCCGATGCTCGGCCACACCTAGCGCTGGCGCGGATCATTCGACCGGGCAACTATTATCATATCGCGATGACGTACGACAACAGGACGCGGTAATTTATCGAGCGACCACGCCACTACCAAATAATATCCCGTAACGGCCGAGAAAGTCTATGCTGCCGATGCTGATGTCTACGTGGCAGCGCCTGTCACAAGTCGCTCAATCCACGGTGCCTCGATCGACAAATTTAATTCACGCGTTACTGTTGCCCGAGGACACGTGTCCCGCGGATTCTTGAACAACGCCATTACGCAGTTGATGTGCCAGTGGAAGGGAACGGAGCGATGTACATGCCACTACATACTACGGATACCTACTTGATCGTTAGCTAGTGAATTCCTTATGCCCATCTTGAAGAAATCTTGTAAATATCCTAGGATTTCCTCAAGACGGACATTGAAAGGCTGTGTTTGCTGGGTATGCAGACTTTGATTTTTCTCTGGGCTAGGAAATGCGTGCAGCTTCGAATGGAAGGAAAAACCGTGCGTGCGTGCACCGTTGCGCTGCGATTTAAAAAAAAACGTTCGGGTATAAACATGTACCTAATAACCGCGAGGTCTCGATATCCATTTCATGAGATTTTCGCTCGAGGAGACGTGATATGCTTGTGTTTATCCAAGTCCACACAGTTTTTTTTTTTTTTTTTTATATATATATACTTGTGTTACCACGATGTCTCGTATAAAATTGTATATAGAAGCGCCAAGCGACAGATTAATGAT